AAAGTGGAAGATTATATACCCTGGCGTACTCAATTCGAATCTTTTTTGGTGGCATATGGTCTTTTGGGCATTCTTGATGGGTCTCCGCCAGCTCCGCCATTGTATACTTATGATCTATATCAGGCTCAATCCATTAACCCTGAATATTATCATTGGTTGAAATTGGACCAAACTGTTCATGTTTGGTTGTTTGCTACCTTATCTCGAGAAATTCTGATGGAGGTTCATACTTTGAAAAATTCTTCTCCAATCTGGCAACTTTTGGAGTCTCGATTTCTGGCTGCCAGTCTAGCACGCTCCATGGAGTTAAAACAGATGTTATCTCACACCAAGAAGAAGGAGAATCAGTCCTTGGAGGAATACGTTCGCAGCATTCAGACTATTGCTTATAATTTAACCTCCATCAATTCCCCGGTTTCCAATGCTGATCTTATTCAATATACGCTTTTAATATTGAGACCGGGTTATGAGTCACTAGTGGGACCCCTCACCTTGTTTCCTGAAGGACTTACTTTTGACAACTTAGGCACGAAATTGGTTCACCAAGAAGCACGATTACGCTACAACAGTCCTTGAAACCATCCGTCACCGCCCCGGCCTTCGCTGCACCTACTAACGACCATTAGCACCAGCAGACTAGTCGAGGTCGTGTGACATCCTCCTCTGGCAAAAATCCGCAACAACAGCCTGGCAGAGGCGTGCGTGGTAACCGCGACAGGGAGCATGGCCGGTACCAGTCACAGCAGCAGTACGGACAGCCCCAGCCGTACTTCGGTCCCGGGCAGCAGTTTTATCAGCCAGCGGCACATGCTAGAGGAGCCAATCAGCAACAAAATTGGGGATCCGGTACATTTTTTTGTAATTCAGTTGAGTCATAGTTTTATACTCCTGCTCTCTCTACTTTTTGTACTAACTATGCCTTTGCAGGATCTCCATCTTTTGAGAATAATTTTGGTTCAGTCCCTCCACCTGTCGTTTGTCAAATCTGTCACTCCCAGGTCATTCAGCTGTAGTGTGTCCGTCTCGTTTTATTCAAGCTCAGCCTCCTGTCTTAGCTCTCTCTACTGGCGAAGCCACTCCAGCTGTGTGGTATCCTGACTCAGGTGCTTCTGCTCACATGACTCCACATGAAGGTATTTTGCATAATAAATCTATTTATTCTGGACCACTAAAAATTACGGTTGTAAATGGATCTAATCTTCCTGTTATGACTACTAGTAATTTGCATTTAGCTACTAAACCTCGGCCTCTCCATTTAAAATCGGTTTTTCATGTGCCTAATCTTAAATATAATCTTCTCTCCATCCAACGATTGTGTGCCGATAATAATTGTTTTGTGATTTTTTATAAAAATTTTGTCTGTGTTAAGGACACAATTTCGGGGAACGTGCTCCTCCAAGCTTCCAGTAATGGTGGCGTTTATCCCATTTTCTATCACTCATCCGTCCCCAGTTGCTCACAGTTCTCAAGCTGCTCCCAGACCAATTTGGCATCATCGCGTAGGCCATTATGGAAGTCGTATTTTAGATAAATTAAAAAATTCTGGTAGTGTTCTTAGTACTTCTAATTTTTCTCATGATTGTATTTCTTGTCGGTTAGAAAAATCACAACGATTACTTTTTCAAGAAGTGTGGCATAAATATTATGTTTGGCAGTCTCCGGTTCTTTCTTCAAGTGGATTTAAATATTATGTTTTATTTATTGATTGTTTTCTCGTTCTACTTGGCTTTATCCCATGCGTAATAAAAGTGAAGTGGTGAGACATTTTCAACATTTTAAATCTATGGTGGAAAATTTACTTGATGCTAGAATTAAAATTTTTCAAAGTGATGGAGGGGGTGAATTTGACAATCATGCTACGCGCGATATTTTTACCAAAAATGGTATTTTATTTCGCAAATCATGCCCCGATACTCGTGAACAAAATAGAGTAGTTGAGCGCAAACATAGACATTTATTTGAATTAACTCGCATTATGCTCTTTGATGCAAAATTGCCAGCTAATTTTTTGGGTAGATGCTGTGTTTACCGTCACATTTATTATTAATCGGCTTCCTACTCCAAATTTAAATGGCATATCTCTGTTTGAAAATTTATTCCACCAGTCTCCCGACTTCTCTTTTATGCGTGTGTTTGGTTGTGCCCGTTTTCCAAATTTTAATGCTACTTTTGCCAATAAATTGTCTCCTAGATCCACCTTATGTGTCTTTCTAGGATATGCCCCCGAATACAAAGGTTATTGTTGCTTTAATCATATTACTGACAAGATTTACATAAATCGGAATGTGCGGTATTTTGAAAATTATTTTCCTTATTCCGATTTAATTTCTGCACACCAAAAGGACACTTCCATGATGCTAATCGACAGCACGATGAGTATGCATGAATATCACCCCTTTCGGCCATGTCTCCCATCACCTACGATGCACAGCACCTCCGTCCTTCCCAGTCACCTGCGTCAGACCCCCCCCCCCCACTGTCAATCACCACCCCGTCAACTACCCGCTTCCTCCCCAGCTTCTCCGGCCACCCCAGACCACCGGGCCACTGCTGCGTACAGCAGCAGCACACCAGACCACACACTGCAGCCAAACACCACCTCTGCCGCACCCATGGACTCCCCGCAGCAGCCCCTCTCCGACCGCACCATCAGCCGCAACTCTTCTAGCCCGAGCCCGAGCCCTTCACCACCTGCACCTTCTCCTAAAAATTGTCATCCGATCCTATGGAAATTCATGCCAAAGCAGGAGTTATGCCCTTCACCACCTGCACCTTCTCCTAAAAAGTGTCATCCGATCCTATGCAAACTCGTGCCAAGGCAGGAATTTTTAAACCCAAAAATATTTTCTCTCAAAACAAATATTTCGGCATGTGATCCATCATGTTTTTTAATGGCAATTAAAGATGCTAAATGGAGAGCTGTTATGGCTAAAGAGTTTAATGCTCTTATTGATAATCATACCTGGGATTTAGTGTCATTTAATGCTAGTAAAAATGTGGTTGGGTCTAAATGGATTTATAAAACAAAATTTAATGTTGATGGGTCTGTTGAGCGCTATAAGGCACGTATGGTTGCACAGGGATTTACTCAGCAAACTGGTGTGGATTTTTATGAGACTTTTAGTCCTGTTGTTAAACCCACTACTGTTCGTATTGTTTTATCTCTTGTTGTCTCGTATAAGTGGTCCATTTGTCAGTTAGATGTCAAAAATGCTTTTCTTCATGGCAATCTAACTGAAGAAGTTTATGTGCGTCAGCCTCCTAGGTTTGTTCATCCTCAATTTCCTAGTCATGTTTGCAGGTTCAGGAAGGCTATCTATGGTCTTAAACAAGCTTCCAGAGCTTGGTTTTATCGGTTCAATAGTTTTTTATTAACACATGGTTTTGTCTGTAGTAAATCTGATAATTCTCTATTTATTTAGCGCCATGGGTCTCATATTCTTTATCTTCTGCTGTATGTGGATGACATTATTATCACTGGTAATTCCCCTTTCTTTATTTCCACCTTTATTTTGTGTCTTGGCCGTTGTTTTGCCATGAAGGATTTGGGGGATTCACATTTTTTTCCTAGGTGTCGAGGCTGTTCGAACGCACTCAGGTTTGTTTCTGTCTCAACAAAAATATGTGTCTGACCTATTAACCAGGTTTCATCTCCACACTCTTAAGTTTGTTCGTACTCCGCTACCTACTCGAACTAAGTTGTCTCCCACTGATGTGGATCTTCTTGCAGATCCTACTGAGTACAGAAGTATGGTAGGTGCTCTGCAGTATTTGAGTATGATTCGACCTGATATTACATTTGTTGTTCACCTGGTCTCTCAGTTTATGCATGTGCCTCGTACTACTCATTTATTGGCTGTTAAGCGTTTTTTCAAGTATCTACAGGGGTCTTCTGATCACGGCTTGCTTCTTGAGTCCAGCACTTCTTCTCCTACTTTGCATGCTTATTCTGATGCTGACTGGGCTGGTTGTCTTGATAGTAACCGGTCTACTTCTGGTTTTGCTGTTTTCTTGGGTCCTAATTTAGTCTCATGGAAGTCCAAGAAGCAGCACACTGTCTCCCGATCTTCTACAGAGGCTAAATATCGAGCTATAGCCTACACGGTTCAGGACACACTTCATATTCGCTCCATTTTGTTCGAATTAGGCATCTCCATTCGGGAACCGTACAGTTATTGTGTGATAATGTATTTGCCTCCTACTTGTCCACTAATCCCATTCAGCATGCTCGAAGCAAGCACATCAGCATTGATTATCACTTTGTTCGAGAGAGAGTTTCGCATGGAGATTTGGTTGTTCGCTATGTTCCTACTCAGTTTCAGCTAGCAGATTTGTTTTTACTAAATGTCTGTCACCACATCGTTTTATTTTTCTTAGGGACAATTTTGGCATTGTTTCCCTTGCACATCTTGAGGGGGTGTAATAGTGTAATTAATACCATTAATTTGGTTTCCATATTTATTAGGTTTCCTAATGTATTCAGGACATATTTTATTATATACTCCCTCCATCCCGTAAACAACTTCCCACTTTCTTTTTTGGGCAGTCCCGAAATTAACTTCCCACGTCTTCCCACTTCCTTATTTGGCAAATTCTCTACATCAAAACAGTGACAAACAATGCCAAACAGTGTTCAAACAGTGTCAAAACAGTAAAATTTACCCCCAATAAGTTTTTATTTCCTTAATATGTGTGAAGTCAAACTTTGAAGTTGGTTACGGGATGGAGGGAGTATATGACACCTAGGACTACCATATTGGTAAGTCATTCCATTATTCTCACACTATCATGTTGACCATGGAACCTGAAGTCTTAACAAATATTTCCTCCGTTCTTTTTAAGTTGCAACATTTCATTTCCACACTTGCCAACACACAACTTTAAGCGTCATTTGGTTTAATTCTCTATTCATAAAAAATTTTAAAATCAGCTCATGAAAATTTATAATGAGACAAGTTCAACAACTCTTTAGAAAAATCATACTTTAATAAATACTCCGTAAAATATAGTGAGAATAAAGTGTGCGAATAATGTAAAATTGATATGTTACTCCGTAAATGAATGATAGTATGACTTCCCTTTTATTGAATGTTTTCCTATTGTCCGTCAATTGGTCAGCTTGAAAGTTGAGAGGTGGGGCAAAAATAACTAAAATGAGCTTAGCTCACTTTTTAAAATTGCAGCCAGCCGCTGGTTCCGCCATTTCAGCATTTGGGCTTTAATTTGTGATCGTTGGTGTCTTTTCAATCACATGTGGGCGTGTACCTCAAACCCGAATGATTAATACTCCGTCTCGTACTATATGATGAGTTGATGACATCTGCTGCTACTTGGTAAGCTCCGTATTCATTCAGAATTTCAACAGTTATATTATCACGTGGTAAGTTCACATTGTTGCCAACAAGCTGCGATCGAAAAATTAAATGATAAATGAACTGGCTATGTTGAGTAGGGGGTGTTTGGAAGTGATTCTGCTTCTACTTCTTTTTTAAAGCAGAAGCAGAATCAGAATCAGTTTTCAGAAGTTGGTCACCCCCCAGCTTCTAAAAAAACTGATTCTAAGAGTAAATTTGAGTACCAGAATCACTTCTGCACTTTCATCCAAACACTCCAACTTCTGCTTCTGCTCCCTGACGGAGCAGAATCTGCTCCCTGACGGAGCAGAAGCAGTTTTAAGAATCAAATCCAAACACCCCTAAATGTATTGAAATTATTGAAGTGGTGACAAACGGTTCCATTGGATGATTGGATGAAAAAAGTATATGTTGAGTTTAATCCAACACGATATAGTAAATATATGTATGAACACTCAGTTTTTACGTGGAAACCCGAAAGAGAGAAAACTACGGGATTTTTTAGGCTAATGTCCAAGTCCTCTCATTCTCATTAATACTCTCCTCACCATTACATAGTACAAGTATTGAAGCTTCCATTAATGGAGTTCTAAGCTATTCTAGAGAGAAGGAAGAAAGAAGGGATAAAAAGGGGTCCATAATATGGAGGGAAGACCTCCTATAAATAGGGAAAGGGGTGAGGGAAGTACTCCACCCTAATGGGCCAAACGGGCCGATGTCGGGCCTAATGGCCAAAGTGGGCTGGACGGGCCGAAATGCCCCTAGCTGCTCGGGCTCCGTACTGGATAATATCTTGGGCTCCTGAACAGTAACAGACCGGGATAATATATCCCAACACAAGTCCCCCAGTTTCTTGAGTAGTGAGCGTGCGAATCTGCTCGAGAAAATATACTCTCGCCTGCGCTCTTCCTTTGTCTTGCTGGAAACTGTGTCTTCGAATAATCACAATATATGAGTGGGTGTCTACACTCCTGAACGTAATCTGCCAGTGAGGCACCCCCCTTCCCGACGGGGTCGGGCAAAGGGTGCTCCTCCACGGGCACACTCCCCCTGAATGCATCAGGCGGGAGTAAAGGACTCTGACTCGAGCTTTCCAATCGGAGAAGCTTAGAGGTCCATGCATCTATAAACCGACGTCGCGGTACTGTCAAAACATGATGCACGTGTGTATGTATGAATGTATGAGGTATGATGCATGAATGCATGAATGCATGTAATGTATGGGTGCAATGTATGAGAGAAGGAATGTGAGATGTGATAGAAAGCGGTGGCTCTCATCGATAAACCGGGCATGTCAGCGCCGAGAGGCAGACGTGCTGCATAAGATGGTCGTCGCCATCCTAGAAGGGATGGGCGATCCGGAGATGAACTCGACACAATGGCACGGCGGGGGCCGATTGTGCTGCATAAGATATTTGTCCCCATCCTGGAGGAGATGGGCGACCCGGAGATGAACTAGACACGATGGCACTGAGGGGCCAATCATGCTGCATAAGAGACGTTTGTCGCCATCCTGGAAGGGACGGGCGAGCCGAACATGAGCCAGACACGATGGTGCTGAGAGGCCGATCGTGCTGCATAAAGACGTTCGTCGCCATCCTGGAAGGGAATGGGCGAGCCGAACCGTGAATCTGGACACGATGGCGCTGAGGGGCCGATCGTGATGCATAAGACGTTCGTCGCCACCCTGGAAGGGATGGACAAGCTGAACGCCGAGCTGGGTACGATGGCGCTGAGGGGCCGATCGTACTGCATAAGACGGTCGTCGCCATCCTAGAAGGGAATGGGCGAGCCGAACCGTGAGTCTGGACCAATGGCGCTGGGGGGCCGATCGTGATGCATAAGACGTTCCTCGCCACCCTAGAAGGGATGGACGAGCTGAACGTGAGCTGGGTACGATGGCGCTGAGGGGCCGATCATACTGCATAAGACGGTCATCGCCATCCTGGAGGGAATGGGCGAGCCGAACCGTGAGTCTAGACACGATGGCACTGAGGGGCCGATCGTGATGCATAAGACGTTCGTCGCCACCCTGGAAGGGGGACGAGCTGAACGTGAGCTGGGTATGATGGCGCTGAGGGGCCGATCGTACTGCATAAGACGGTCGTCGCCATCCTGGAAGGGAATGGGCGAGCCGAACCGTGAGTCTGGACACGATGGCGCTGAGGGGCCGATCGTGATGCATAAGACGTTCGTCGCCACCCCTGGAAGGGATGGACGAGCTGAACGTGAGCTGGGTACGATGGCGCTGAGGGGCCGATCGTACTGCATAAGACGGTCGTCGCCATCCTGGAGGGAATGGGCGAGTCGAACCGTGAGTCTGGACACGATGGCGCTGAGGGGCTGATCTTGATGCATAAGACGTTCGTCGCCACCCTGGAAGGGATGGACGAGCTGAACGTGAGTTGGGTACGATGGCGCTGAGGGGCCGATCGTACTGCATAAGACGGTCGTCGCCATCCTGGGGGGAATGGGCGAGCCGAACCGTGAATCTGGACACGATGGCGCTGAGGGGCCGATCGTGATGCATAAGACGTTCGTCGCCACCCTGGAAGGGATGGACGAGCTGAACGTGAGCTGGGTACGATGGCGCTGAGGGGCCGATCGTACTGCATAAGACGGTCGTCGCCATCCTGGAGGGAATGGGCGAGTCGAACCGTGAGTCTGGACACGATGGCGCTGAGGGGCCGATCGTGATGCATAAGACGTTTGTCGCCACCCTGGAAGGGATGGACGAGCTGAACCTGAACGTGAGCTGGGTACGATGGCGCTGAGGGGCCGATCGTACTGCATAAGACGGTCGTCGCCATCCTGGGGGGAATGGGCGAGCCGAACCGTGAATCTGGACACGATGGCGCTGAGGGGCCGATCGTGATGCATAAGACGTTCGTCGCCACCCTAGAAGGGATGGGCGAGCTGAACGTGAGCTGGGTATGATGGCGCTGAAGGGCCGATCGTACTGCATAAGACGGTCGTCGCCATCCTGGAAGGGAATGGGCGAGCCGAACCGTGAATCTGGACATGATGCGCTGAGGGGCCGATCGTGATACACAAAAATAGTGATGATCATCTCATGGCCCTCGGCCTGTCGGTGAGTGGTAATCGTCTCACGGCCCTCGGCCGTGCTGGTGATGTGTCAAGTCTCTCTCCTGATTGGCTGTGAGAAGCCGATCGTCTGCCAGGACTCCATCCGGGAAGGAATGGTGAGCCTGAGATAAATCTGGGCGATGTCCCTCCTACCTGATCTGGGGAGCTAATCGTCGTTCGTCTACCGTATCCGTGGTCCTATGTACGGACCACTAAGCGGTGTACACTCGGTACGCAACAGACTCCGGTGGAGAACTGGTCCTTCGTGTCTGATCCATGGAGCTGGTCTTCGTTCGTCTACCGTATCCGTGGTCCTATGTATGGACCGCTAAGCGGTGTACACTCGGCACGCAACAGACTCCGGTAAAGAACTGGTTCTTCGTGTCTGATCCATGGAGCTGGTCTTCGTTCGTCCACCGTATCTGTGGTCCTATGTACGGACCACTAAGTGGTGTTCACTCGGCACGCAACAGACTCCGGTGGAGAACTGGTCCTTCGTGTCTGATCCATGGAGGTGGTCTTCGTTCGTCTACCGTATCTGTGGTCCTATGTATGGACCGCTAAGCGGTGTACACTCGGCACGCAACAGACTCCGGTAAAGAACTGGTTCTTCGTGTCTGATCCATGGAGCTGGTCTTCGTTCTTCCCAAGTCTCGTGAGTCACTGGTCTCCTGGTTTCGCAGGAGACGTTCGTCATCCCAACTATGAGAAGAAACAGGTTTATCCACGTCGGGATTCCCTATCTCTGTTCGTCCCCAGTCGTGAGTTACTAGTCTTCTGGCTTCGCAGAAGACGTTCGTCATCCGTTCATCAAGGGGGAGGAACCGGTATACCCTGTCAGGGTTCCCGTTTCTTCGTTCGTCCCTGTCGTGATCCTACTAATCTTCTTCCCTCGAAGAAGACGTTCGGCATCCACCGATCGCAAGGGGGAACTGGTTTACCCTATCACGGGTTCCCTGCTTCGTCGTCCCATGCTCGTGGCCCTACTAGCCTTCTGCTCTGGCAAAAGGTGTTCGTCGATCCACGGGAAATAGGAGGAACTGGTTTATCTTGCCGAGGTTCCCATTGGTTCGTCTAGCACCCCCCCCCCCCCCCCCCCCCCCCCACGTTCCTACTGACCTCCGTGTCAGGAGACGTTCGTCATTCGCGGCGAAGGAAGATCTGGCATACCTCGTCAAGACTCCCTCTCTCATAGGATCTCGTCTCCCCTTCTCCCCATCTTTTTTTTTTGAGGGAGGAAAATACGTTCGTCGGTTCTAAGAATGACCACACGTGAGGTCACACATAATGGTGCTGGGATACCAAAACGAATAAAATGACGAGGCGTTGGAAAAGTTGGTCGTCATGCGAAGGCGATGGTCACCCTCCTGGAGGGGAGGGGTGAGTCTGATCGCTAACTCAAGAAGGTCGGCATTGGGAGCCAATAATGATCATAATGTCACTGAGCAGTCGGTCCTGATAAGGAGATGACGATAGTGTCCGATCAGGCCGATATATCCAAGCAACGGCTCTCATCCACGCAGCGCGGGGATGAAACCGGTCTTCAAAAGATAAATATGTCGTGCCGAGAGGCCGAACATGATATGATAGTGTCAGCAGTAAGAGGCCGACCTGAAAGAATCAAGCAATGGTCCTCGTCCGCGAGGGGCGGGGACAAGGCCGGTCTTCACAAGATAAACACGTCGTGTCGGGAGGCCGGTCGTGATATAATAACATCGACAATGAGAGGCCGATCTGAGAAAACAAGCAACGGCCGTCATCCGCGAGGAGCGGGGATGAAACCGGTCTTCAAATATGGAAAGCACGCCGAGCCGGGAGGCCGGTCGTGATATAACGGTGTCGGCAATGAGAGGCCGATCTGAGAAAACAAGCAACGGCCGTCATCCGCGAGGAGCGGGGATGAAACCGGTCTTCTAATATGGGAAGCACGCCGAGCCGGGAGGCCGGTCGTGATATAATGGTGTCAGCAATGAGAGGCCGACCTGAAATCAAGCAACAGTCCTCATCCACGCAGTGCGGGGACGAGGCCGGTCTTCAAATATGATGATCATGCCGTGCCGAGGGGCCGGTCATGATGTAATGATGGCGTCAGATGGCCCTCGGCCGTGACGATCTCTTCTAGGCCCTCGGCCTCTGAATGACGAGTGACCGTCTCACAGTTCTCTGTCATGGCATTCGCCTCTAGACCCTCGGCCTCTAGGTGTTCTTCCTAGGCCATCGGTCTCTGGGGTAGAGATGCTCGTCCCAGTTTCTCAACCGTGGTGGTCTCCTCTTTAGCTGGCCCTGAACGTCTTCAAGACTCGGGCCGAGCGTCTTTTAATCATTCCGCTCGAGCGCGTCGAGTGGCTTCAGCTGCGCAATAAGCATGATAACGGGCCGCACGGCCCGACAGTATATATACATAGCCATCTGTGTGGGTTTCTCTCTAACACCCACGATTACTGGCCTATGGGTCATTGTGACCCTCACTCTGGCTCATCGTGCGGGGTTACCGGACATAACAACTTGCGGCAGGGCCATTTAGCATCCTACCGAACGTCACATAAAAATATTCATCGGTCTGTGAGTTTTCAAACTCAGACCCAAGTTAGTCGCACTGCCCTTGGAAAAAGGAGGCTGAGCGCTTTGGTGCCTTCGGGCCCCACAGGCCGCGTTTGGCACAGTCACTTTGCCTAGCGGCGCAGATGGTACTAGGGTACGATCGTCGCTCGAGCACTTGGTGTCGTGCGGACTAATGCGTAACCCCCAAATTAAAATGCGTCATTGGGGCACTACCCTCTGGAGACGCTCAGATCGCTAATCAAAACCGATCGAGAGTGGGCTAATCGGGCCCACCAACAATTAAACATTTAATAAAAAGTTGGCCAAACTAACTATCACTAGAGCTTCGCTCAGCATTATTTATTTCGGGACATTTTTATCCCTAACAAATAATGGTGATGTACGGGTAGTAACAATGATATTATCCTATCAAAGGTCATTGAGATATGCTCCGTTCGCTAATTACAGCCGATCAGGAGTGGGCGACGGGCCTACAACACCAATCACCTAGTTAAAATGATGGTGGAATTAATTATCACTTAGAGCATAGCTCGCACTATTTAATTTTGGGAGTTTTAATCCCTAATAAATAATGGTGATAAAAATACTAGCAATACTAATAGTTTAAACTATTAGCAATTAAGTGTACCAATTTAAAGGTGTAGGTACTTAGCTTTGGGGTAGATGTTCGGCCAGCTAGCATGAGGGAAATTGGTTTGATTCCCTTTGCAATTTTGACTCAGTCAACCTTCTCCAAAACTTATCCCTTGACCACCCCTCCTCTACTCACGTGGCTTTATGAGGACCAAGCCATCCGAACGATATGCAGTATTCCACATCCTTTGGACAGCAAGTTGAACTGTTGAAGCATCGACTCACCATCCCAAGGCCAAAACGGTGTGCTGTCTGTTTGGTGACCGCTTGCTAGCGGTTGCGATGGAAGCTGCAGCGGAGCAAGGGTGGCCGGAAAAGCTAGTCTCCGGCGGAAACTTGAACGAACAACTGGGTATACCTCTTTTGAGCTCGAAACCACCATTAATGGTGGAAATCATGGAGCTCTCAACGAACAGAACCTTCAGGTCGCGTTGGCAGGGATGCTGGTGCCCGAGTAGCGGCTGGCCAGACAGAAAGTGACCACTTGTGACCTGCCGGAAGCCGGCGGCGAGCGACAGTGCCTTGTTTCGGGCGGAGGGACTAAGTTCGAGCCGTGAACAGTGCCCCTGCGACGGGCATGGCTCTGCTCGCAGCTAGCGGTGTTCCTCTAGGAACGGAGCGGCGAGACCCAGGACGCGGCAGCGAGCTCCGCCTGGTACAGCTGGACCCACCGGAAGGTCCATGGCGGCGGGGACGACGGCGGCTCCGGCGACCTCAAAACAGATCTGGAAAAAATCCAGATCTGGGCTTCTCAGAATCCATAGCTTCTCCTCTCCTCTTCCTGCTAGAATCAGTCCATTTTGGTATGAATTTTTCGTAGAAACTCAAGAACAGTAGAACACATGAATCTTTTTGGACAGATTCCCACAGACGGCGCCAGTGTTGAGTTTAATCCAACACGATATAGTAAATATATGTATGAACACTCAGTTTTTACGTGGAAACCCGAAAGAGAGAAAACTACGGGATTTTTTAGGCTAATGTCCAAGTCCTCTCATTCTCATTAATACTCTCCTCACCATTACATAGTACAAGTATTGAAGCTTCCATTAATGGAGTTCTAAGCTATTCTAGAGAGAAGGAAGAAAGAAGGGATAAAAAAGGGGTCCATAATATGGAGGGAAGACCTCCTATAAATAGGGAAAGGGGTGAGGGAAGTACTCCACCCTAATGGGCCAAACGGGCCGATGTCGGGCCTAATGGCCAAAGTGGGCTGGACGGGCCGAAATGCCCCTAGCTGCTCGGGCTCCGTACTGGATAATATCTTGGGCTCCTGAACAGTAACAGACCGGGATAATATATCCCAACAGTATACTAGTACAGTAGTACTTAGGTCTTAATACTTTTTTCGTTCTTTTTTAATTATAGCAGTCAATTTTGCACATTTCTCAACGCACATATAACCATCGAAATATTTTATTTGCTAGGTTTAAATACTCATGTATGTTGTTAGAATATATTACATTGTGTGTTACATACTTACATCCCGGATAATTTTTTTTCATCCCTGAAGCTTATGTTGGTTTGCTTTTTAGTCCATCATCAGTGATAACAACCTCCGTTTGACCTTAAAATAACCTTGACTTATAGGATTTCTCTAACTCTGTCATGTTATTCAAAAAGTGTTTGAATTTAGCGTTTAGAAGGTTTTAATATATACTAGTACTACGTAGTATTTGTAAAATTTGAATAATTTATTTTATACTCCCTCCGTCCCATTGGACTTTGTCAACTTTCCCTTTTTTGTTGTCCCAAAAAACTTTGCCACTTTCCTATTAAAGCAACTAATTTGTGGTTCTGCACATTTCTCTCTCCTCTGCACAAATCTCAACCACACAGTTTTTACTATTCTTATTTCTCACCTACTTTGCACTTGACAAAGTCCACCGGGGCGGAGGTTGAATTATTTTAACTCTCATATTAGTATAAAATATTATAAAAGGATAAATTTAAATGTTCCCAGTAGATTTATGAAGATATAATTACATGAATAATACTACACACTTTTGATTGGACAAATATAGGACTAAATTTGATTTGGACAAAAAAGAGACTGAATTTTAACAGATGGATTGAAAGGCCCCTGTCACTCGAAATTGTCCGCTTCTCTCCCCCATTCCCTATCCCCTGAACCGTCCGCGTAACCATAGCCAACCTCTCCACAGAGCTTCAACATCAATCGTCCGAGCCCTTGCACCACCGCAGCCCTTTCACCACCGCAAGTCCACAACTGTATCCTCGCACACCACTATCGGAAACGACGACGTTCCTTCACTCTTGATTAGAGGCCATCTATGACAACGAGCTTCAGATCTATAACGAAGACCGAGTCTAGTTCTTCTCCTACTCCTTCTTCAAGCGTGAGCACAACTAGATCGACGATGAATCAACCAGTTAGTTTCAGATCGCCTGATGGGTGGGGACTAGGATTCGGAGTATGGTGCGGGGAAAGTACGGCGTGTGGCTAGGGTTCGACCTATGAGTCGAGTGCGGTGGGCGGCTAGGGTTCATCTAGTTGGTGCTGGATCTGGGGGCGGGGTGCGGAGGTAGGATGTAGCTGTTACAGGGGGCGGGGTGAGAGGGTTGGTCCGCGATTGTGCAAGGCTGGGCAGGGGCGGCGGTGGCAGGGGTTGGGGAGGCTGGATTCGGGTTGGGGTTAGAGACGGGCTGGCCACCGGAGAGGGGAGGGGCTCACTGACAGGGCAGTTTGGTAGGGGCAGTGGTCGGCAGTGGCCGGCTGTAGTGGCTAGCGGTAGGTACAACGGAGGGGGCCGATGTAGGGGAGGGGTCTGGGGCAGAGGAGGGGGCTGGTGCAGAGGAGGGGCCTGGTGTAGTGAAGGGGGCTGGGCAGGGGAGGGGGCTTTGGAGGGAAGGTGCGGGGGAAGGGGCAGCTGTCACCGGGCTGGGTATTGATCGAGGGGCGGTAGTCGGGGGCTTCGCTGGTCGGGGCAGTGGTGGCCGTGTTGGTCAATGATTGAATTGGTCATGGTCACTAATTGGGTTGGCCACTGGTCGAATTAGTCATGGTCGGATTAGTCGCGGTTGGATTGGTCACGATTGGATTGGTCACGGTTGAATTAGTCATTGATCGGATTGATCACGGTCGAATTAGTCATTGGTCGGATTGATCACGGTCGAATTAGTCATTGGTCGGATTGGGTCGGGTACCTGTAAATGGTTGGACCGTATATTTGTAAATGGGTGAAACGGATAACTGTAACTGGTCGAACGGGTAATTATAATTGGTTGGGTCAGGTAATTGTAAGTGGTCAAATCAGGTAATTGTACCTGGACGATCCGGGTAACTGTAATTGATCCGGTCGAGTAAATGTAATTGATCCAGTCGAGTAATTGTAATTGATCGGGTCGGATAACTGTAATTGATTGATCAGGTAATTATAAAATTTATAATTGATCGGATAATTGTAATTGAAGGGTAATTCTAACTGATCGGGAGGGTAATTGGGTGTAATTGTAATTGGATGAATAAAATAATTATAAATGTCACCGGGTAACCGTACCTCGGTGTTTATAAAAATCATACGCAGTACAGTTTTTATAATCTCGGAAAATGGTTGTAACATTTTGAGAACTTGAAAAAAAAAAGGATGACACCCCATCCCTGAGAGCCCCCCAACACCGACCGGACGACACGATGGGAGGATGTAAATTGGACTATAATCACAATCTGACAGATAGATAATGAGGCTCTGTACCCGGTACTTGCAGAGGCCCTATGCATTTTCAGTATAGTAACCCCTCATCGCAGTTGCCGGTATTCGAACCCGAGACCTAACCCTTGTGACACTCCCTTGCTACCAGTTGAGCTACGTCCACCGGTACATTTTGAGAACTTGGAGGTTGGAAACGATGTGGTTTACAACGTAAGGGTATTTGTTAGTAGTAGGGGCATTTTTGGTATTTCATCCTAAAGTTTATTAAATGTTCCGCACGCTGGTGTCTTTTTTGTCCTCTACTAAAGAGGTCTTAGAATTGTCCAAATCTTTTTAATTAGTACTAACTATGACCTAACCCCATTTATGAAACTAACATTGACTTTTTTTCTAAGTAGAATGATTTTAGAGTTAGATGGACTAAAAATAAAACAGTACATATTATTGAGATAAAAAATTATTTGCAGGGAATAAAACTGCATTTAAGCCTAAGATAAAAAATTATTTGCAGGGAATAAAACTGCATTTAAGCCTATTCTCTAGTAGTAAAGAAATTAAAAAATTAGATTTAAAAAAGACTGTAATTAGACGAATTGAATAATATTTTAAAAAATTCAAATAAATTAATAAATATTACTCCCTCTGTCCCCCAATTTAGTTCTCACTTTCCTTTTTGGACAGTCCCTAAATTAAGTTCACACTTCAATACTTTCCTTATTTGGCAAATTATCTACATCAAAACAGTGCCTAACATTGTCAAACAGTGTCAAACAGTATTTGAACAGTGCTAAACAGTGCACTCCACAGTAAAGTCAAATTTATTTTCTTAATATGTGTGAAGTCAAACCAGAAACTTAATTGGGAATGGAGGGAATATATAATCAAAATAGAACATGTAAATATTGTAAAATTCAAATGTTGCAACAAAAAAGGAAGGATACTATCTGTTACTACATATTTAAAAATCTGCAAATTTGTTGAAGTGTGTATACTTCTCACATTAGAGAATGCCAATAGGTTGGGCAGTGATATGAGGATGGTCAATAAGATTTGGGTCCCTACAACTTCAGATTTCACGCACGAGCTGTCGGTTTAGGCTCCCATTGGACAAAGCTTGGCTTTCAGTTGAGGCCAAAAAGTTAGCTTCAGAGAGCTAATGTCATGCTTCTTGCTTCGTGGGAGAGCAGGTTTGTGCATAAAATGTACTCAAAACCGGCCAAATTATCAAATTGAAAAAAAAAAAGATGATCGAACAAATTGGTAAAAAATATCATTTGAGACATATTGGTAAAGAAAAACTAGTGATAAATTGGTCAATTTTTTGTGAGTGATAAATTTTCGATCATCGCCTTTAGAATTCCCGACATTTTATATTCCAAGTATTGTGAAGTTGACATTTGCAGTCCTTTTATTTCGATTTTGTCATCAAAAGTGGAGGTCTAAAAATATCAATAACTGTGTTTGATAATATTACTTATCTGCTAGCTCATAACTGGTTGAATCAACAAATTGATATTAGCGGATTCGTTAGTTTTTTTAACTAACCGTTTTCATTAGCGGTTTCAAATAAAATGCTAGTAACTTAAAATTTGCAATTAGTTTTTCAAAATTAAAATGACCATTAAAAATGAATTTAAAAGTTTATATATTTAAATTATTTTATTTCTTATATTTTTTAACAAGTTTTGGAAAAAGTTTTAAAAATTATGTTTACGTTTATTTTAAATAATTACTAACAATATCATTTTTAAGATATGTACATTAATGCGAACACACAAATATAAATTCATATATTTTTAGTAATAATATTTTTTAATATGACTATTTATTAGTTTTGTTAAAGTCTAGACCATTTAAAAAATCTACTCCAGAATTCTACTCCATATGACTATTTATTAGTTTTTTTAAAAAAAATTACTCCATGGTTATTTAAATTAAATGTAAATATAATTTTTAATTTTTTTTCAAAGACTTATTAAAAATAAAATAAATAAAGTTAAGATAAAATATATACGTTTAAATTCATATCTTTAATGGTCATTTTGCGTCTTAACATCTAATCGCAAACAATTAAGTTACTAACATTTTATTTCAAACGCTAATGAAAACGGTTAGTTATAAAAGCTTACAGAATCCGTTATTATCAATATGCTGATTCAACCGGCTATTAGCTACCAGATAGATGCTATTATCAAACATGGTCGTTGATATTTTTAGACTTCCACTTTTGATGATGATAGAGTTTAATCCAACTACGAGAGCTATATCTACGAGAGCAGATGAAATTTGGGCAGCGTAAGGCACTATTATTAATCCGAAAATTCAGTCCCTCCAGGGGAAATATACAAGAAGTATTTATAGACTTTAGGAACCAGTGTTCTAGGAGGAAAATGATACATTAAATGCTAATAATAGAAATAGACTCATGTAACGCCTTTAAGTCCATGTTCCTTCCATTTAATCCTGCCTGCTGCCAGATAGCTATGCTCAAACGATAGCCTGCCCCGTAAGCCCTAAAGAAAGTCCGACCTCACTTCACCTCCGCTCAGGCTTGAGGTCTGCCGTCCAGCCTGGCCTGGTTGTGAGTTCCTTTCGTGAATCTCATTCCTAATCAGGCCCATTGGCTAATTAATCTTGATCCCGTTTATGGGTTGATCTCGTTAAGGGTTGATCCCGTTAAGGGCTAATCCCGCTTATGGGCTAATCCCATTGAGGGCTTGATCCCGTTGAGGGCTTGATCCCGTTCAGGACTTTTTAATCATAAATTAGTATTTGGGCCATGGATGTAGTCCATGGTACCATGACTACCATCAGATGACGAAATCAAAGTAAAAGAACTAAAAATGTCAATTTCACAATACTTAGAATATGAAAGGTCGAGAATTCTAAAGCCGGGGATAAAAAATTTATCACTCACAAAAAATTGACCAATTTGTAGGGGAGAGCAAAACCCGATCCCACCCGAAAAACTGATCGGATATACCTGAGGTACGCCTAGCGGGTCGGATGACCCGAACCCGATTACCCGATCCGAAATTGCAAACCTTGATCTTTAAGGGTAACGGATATCCGGTAGGTTTTAAAAATGCTACCCTACCCGCCTGAAAAACCCGAACTAGCGTAGTATATATACTACTTTGAATTATTATGCATGTTCGAATATCTCAATTATTGTATGCCAATTACCATATTATGCATGTTCAAATATTCTCGTTACCGTATTTGTACAACTATAACTTTGAATGTTGTATTGTTATGACTTTGAATGATATTTTGACCAATTATCATTTTATTTATCACAATATCAAATATGTTAATCACCACATATTATTATTTACATGTTCAAATATGTAGATTACCGTATTTATACAACTATTACTTTGAATGTTATACTAGTATAACTTTGAATACTACGTATTATTTTTACCAATTGCCATTTTATCTATCACAATTTCAACAATAATAAATTAAAATCCGAATGGAACCGAAAACCGAATTAACCCGACCGCAACCCGAACTTCTTTAACCCGAAAAACCTGATAACCGAATGGGTTTACAATTTTTGAACCCGACCCGCCTGAACCGACCCGTGCTCTGCCCTACCAATTTGTCACTAAGGCTTTTTTTTTACCATTATGTCTCAAGTGATTTTTTTATATATATGTACCCAGGTAATTCGTTTGAAAGGGGCAGAATTTGATGTCAAAACCCCCTAGTTGCCAGTGTACACAAGCAATTCAGTTGAAAGGGTCAAGATTTGATGTCAAAACCCCCTAATTACATGTGTACACGTACAATTTGTGTATACAAAGAAGGACCAATGATAGGGTGAGTTTGGCTTTTTCTTTTGACTAAAGGTATAGTCTAAGTCGATTTGAATTCATTTGTTAAAATCTAAGTTTGTCTAATCTAGTATGAATTGGTCCATTTAACTGTAGTTGCATTACATATGAGGCTGCTATGGTTTTATATTGGTGAAAATTCTCATTTTAATCCACTTTCTACTTCATTTATGTTTCGCTGCATAAAATTTTCAATTTCAAGCTTTGGGCATTTAATTTTTTATTTAAATTATACTACGTATTGTTGAATCAACACGTCTCTCAGAAGGTGATCCCAACCCAAAATGACGTAGTCATATTTTTAAAATATGTATCTTCTCTTTCTTTTTCACTAGGTAGTAGTCTACCTAGAATTTCTACCCCTCCGTATAAAAATATAGTTTACTATACACTTTTTAAAAAAGTGGAAGAGTTTTGGTACTGTAACAGTACTGTTTATTTTATTACAGTATACTGTAGCTGCTTTTGGGATGAATTTATTTCCTAAAACGAAAATGAGACACTTATTTTGATATGGACAAAAAAGGAAAGTGAGACATTTAATGAGATACAGATGGAGGAGGAATGATCCTGTCCAGCCGGGGGGACAGGATCCTCCGTCCGGCCACCATCATTTGGGGTGATTTCCAGTGGAATTTTTTGATGAAATTTTTAGGAAATGTTCCTCATCAAGTCTAGTTTATCCACACAAAAAATCAGCTAAAAATTCGATCGGGAAGGCAGTCAAATAATTTTTTGAAGATAACTGCGCCAAATTAAACATATAAAACGCAGTTATTTTCAAAAATTTATTTGACTGCCTTCCCGATCGAATTTTTAGCTGAAAGTTTTTGTGGATAAACTAGACTTGATGAGGAACATTCCATAAAAATTTCATCAAAAATACCACCAAGAATCACCCCAAACGACGGTAACCGGACGAAGGATTCTATCCCTCCGGCTGGACAGGATCTTTTCCAACAAGATGGAGCATTTCATTCTTCTTTATGTTTTATTTTCTTCTTCAACTCTCTGCTTCATAGAAATACAAAAATCCAAATACGATATTTCTCTTCATTTTTAACAAGTAGTTTTATTAATCAGGACACAAAAAATCATATTTGCATTTTGACAAGCCTACCTACAACTCTCATGCGAGCTCTTCCTTATATTTTACGGTTCATATGGTTTATACAAATATTTTTTCTACATAATATACATTTTAAGAAATGTTGTTTGTCCTTTCAAAAAAAATGTTGTTTGTACACAACAAATTGTGCACAACAATTTACACACCGGTCAAATTGTCTATACATAAACAATATTTTTCATTTTGTTAAGAGAATCATTTTTCGCACCGACAATTTCTTTTGTCTGTGACACAAAAAATTTGTCGATACAAAAAATGATTCTCTTCACAAAACGAAAAATTGACGTATAAATTGTCCTATACAACTAGTGTGTACACGAAGCATGGTTAGTACACTTTTATCAAATTATTAACGTAAATATCTTCCCACGATGTAACACTAATATCTTCCCATTTCTAAATCTTCCCATCATACCCTCAATAATTTTAAAAATAATACACTATTACACCTACTTTTTTTGGATTTATCCTTCATTCCATCACATTATTTCACTATCTTCCCATCATACCCCTAATAATATGTATCTCCTTTCACTATTCTTAATCTACCTACTTTTCAAATGGGAACATCCCAATGTTACGGAGGTAGTAGTAGGGGTGGGCAAAAGACCCGGTCCCATTGATTTATTTCGGAATGTTACGGTTCTTTTCTGAAATTGTCCCCTACCGGTCCCAAACCATTTCAAAACAAAACAAAACCAGGACAAATAAAATATATCTCATTCTGTGTTGTTGTCCTGAATCCAAAATTGTACTTTGTAATAAGTTAGTGAGTCTACCAACTGTGTAATCCAAATAATAATTATCCTTTTTTTTCACAACCCAAATACCAATGGTTACTAAAATATTAGTTCTTTTAACAACAAAACACCTAAATACTCTAAACTACCCAGTATATGAACTATGAACTATAATCTATCTACAAAAAAGAAATTGATTTTTACTCCTAAAGAAAAAAGAAATTGATTTTTATTCCCAAAGGCTTCACTTCGTATATAGTATTCTTTTATCAGTTGTTTTTACAAATTTCTTGATAGTATTTTGTGTTAAATGGTATCTAGTTTTAAGACTCTGTCTTTAAAAACCACGCATTCACGCATATTTAAAAACCACGGCATCTTCAAATGGTATCTAGTTTTAAGACTCACTGTCAATCTATCGTCCATATGGAAAACGTTGACTAGACTGATCAAAATGAAACTGTCGGCACGGACTCCCTGACCGGCTACAGAGTAATATTATTGACTTAGTAGAGTTTCAAAAGGGCCAAAGGTCTCCCCAAAGGGATCTTCTAGCTTGACGATGCAGAGTAGGATTCTTGCTTTTGGTAACAATAATCCGATCAAAAGAGCCTTGTGTGCCTTCAACGTTGGTTGCCCTACAAACGTCCATTTCAACCAGCTTCCCTCTTCGGATCGGAGAATAAATTATTCTTCCCCAACCAGTACCTAGATCCGCGGTGGCTTCTTCTTCCTCCTCCCACTCCCCATCATCAACTGTAATGGTGTCTGATTCTGTATCATCAGAATTATAAGAAATAGGATTCTCTTGTTCATTGAGGTCATCCTCATTTTCAGAAGGGAATTGGTCCTCTGCAACAACAACAATAATAACATGAAGAGACTATTCGAATAGTTTTCGAATACGAAAAAACATGAAGAGACCATATTGCTTCTCCAAGAATGAATGATAATCTATGAAGCACGGGAACTTACCCTGGCTCACGTTTCCCTGTTTCAGAAACTAGGAAGCGTGCCAAAAACTCGGAAATTTCAAAATCCTGTTTTGATCGTTTCCGTAATTAAAAAGAATTGGGAAACTCATTTTCCTAAATAATTAGCATTTCGTAAACTTAGTTTTTTTTCATTTTATGGGATTGATTGAAAAAACGTCTTTTTAAAAAAATAGTGAATTTTTATGGAATTTCTTCTTATTAGCAACATTGTGACATTTCAAAATGCAATGCATTTTTAGAATTTTTTTGCATTTAATATATAATTATGTACTAATATGTAATAGTTTCTCAATTAAACATACTCCGTATGTATGTATTTATTATTGGATTATTGAACAGTTTATGTGGAAAATTTATGTACATATCTATAAATGAAAAACCAAGTGTACATGTATGAAAAATGTTTATAAATATACCCTTATATATTTTAATATTTATGCATTTCCCCATGTTCCGCATCTTATATTATTTAGAAAACATGTTTTTCAAGTTTCGTGTTTCGCATTTCCATGCCACTTAGAAGCTAATGACTTGCATGATACAAGTCCATACTCAATGCTCAAGTCACATACCATAGTCAATCTCTAGATCCTCTGGATTTCTTCTAGCATGTTGCTCCTTCAATGTTTCAAACTTCATTCCATCAAGTGGCCAAGCATCTCTACTTGAAATAAGCAAATTATATGATATTTATTGGAACGGTAACTAAATTTAAACAGCTAAATTGTTTGAGTAACATTTCATCTCAGCAAGAAACATATAATAGTCTCTACAAAAATGCTACTTATATACGCTGGATTACATGCCCGTGTACAGGCCAATGGTATTTTTCATTTTAGTAAAGCGAACTGTGTGTGACCCCAAACTGTCTATGTACGCCCGTGAACAACTCATTTTTTCGGGGTCAGACAATTCTCTTTACTAAAATGAAAATCAATTGTTTGTACACAGAAAAAATACCTTTGGCGTGTAAGCCGACGTGTACAAGTAGCATTTTTGTAATCTCTAACGTTCAGAAACTAAGCATCCTATTATGAACAACTTTGGGAGAAGGCTCAAAAAAGACATTAAAGTTATTTGGGAAATTCAAATTGAACACTAATCTTTTAATAGGACCAAATAAACACATAAATGACTTATTTTAGTAACATTTAGCCACCCACTAACTTTTCTTTTGACTGACTATCCTAAAAACGTTAACCCATCCCTTATCCCTTTGATTTAAGGCTACAAACCAGATAAATACAATTCCAGATGGCGCTCCATGGCCATTGAATCCTCATATCTCCATTATCACCGGCTTTCGTATTTCCGGAATATAAATCACATCCTTGCTTACAACCATCACAACTGTTGGAGTATGAGGTGAATCCCGAACCGAGCTCATTGACATCTGTCCACAGTTTGAAAACACCGGCCCTTTCACCGATGTTAGGTGGGGTGAATTTTGAAGATCTGCTCAATTACTTTACTGCCCACCGGAAGCGAAGAAATTTCTCCACGGCCGGCGGATTAATGGAACCGCTGCCGTCGTAGCCGCTGGAGACAAAGAACTTCTCCAAGAATAGCTTCACTGACACAATGCCCCTCCCGTCACTATCCGGAATCTATACCGGTGAATTTCACTACATCCGTGGATGGTTTTGAGACTACCAGCGAAGTAAAGAACGAGTAAAATCGCAACCATAAGAATAATCACAACTAAGAAAATCAAGAAACGTAACTGGGCGGAGTTATTTTGTGTAATTTTCTCCTCTTTTTCGTCTTCTTATTTTTTACTTCTTTAGTGTATTAACAATCTATTCTCACAATCTCAAGTGTTTGGGATGAAGGAATTCAAAGGGAAGCATGGGTGGTGGAGATGTATCACAAAACGTACAATATGTAGTAACCTGCGTTGAAAAATAGAAATCATAAGAAGAATAGAAGATGATAGGTTTAGACTTTAGAATATATAGAGAGAAGGATAGGCATGAGTGGAAGTTAGATGATAAAAAAATGTTAACGGGCACCGTTAGTGAAACGTGAGTGGGTGGCCAAATATTATCAAAATAAGTGGGTTTTGTGTTAATTTGGTCCACCTAAAAGCTAAGTGTTCAATTTGAGATTGACAAATAACCTTAATGTCCTTTTTGAACCTTCTCCCAAACAACTTTTAAAGCATATGTTCACATTGCTTCTTATATATTACTGAATACAAAACTAAAACATGATTGTGCTCCGGTTGAAGCCGAGATATGCACAATATTTCTTCTAAATCACCCAATTACATATCTTTCGTAGATTACAAGACGTAGAAATGGCAGAAATTTTAATGCTCAAAGTGTGTTGGCTCTAATTTGATTACATTTCAAATACTACTCGTATAATATACTACATATAATGCATTAGGAAAAGTACTTGCCTCGGTCGTTGTCCACGTCTAAAAACAATATAAGAAAATTTCTCATCTTCAAATCCACGCAGAGATGCACCATTGGACCGCTACAGAAAGTAGTCAGAGAGGTTTAGAAGAATATACCAAAAAAAAGACAAGGTAATCTTCTCTTCAGAGATGAGAAGTAAAGATAAATTGCAAATCTGAAAAGATAAAAATGCCTAAACAATACCATAAGAGAAAGCAAACATGTGAAACATTCCGATATCATATCACAAGTCCCACCATTTTCATAACTAGTATCAAGTCAACTTTTGACATGAATTCATATAAGCAAAATTATTACACCGTATTACTTCATATATCAAAAATTACTACCAAGGCAAACCCAATTGAATTTTTTATAGCAAAAGTGAATAATAAAAATATATCACAAAGACATAGAGAAAGAATACAGTGTGAGACATGGGTTTAAGGAACACCTTGACAGTACGCTGTGATGTAGTCCTCTCCAACCTTTGAACAAAATGACAGTATTTTCCCGTTTTACTCAAAGGACAAGCACCATCATGTGGGCACTGAAATATAACACCAACAGGACAATCAGATATGTCTAGATTCATGTAAAAATTAAGTGAGCACTGATAATGACACTCTGACTTACAGGTGCTACAATAAATGCGCCGCATTTGAGTGTCGTCAAGGCCTTACTATGTCTGTCAGATAACTTCTCTAATTTGCGGCATCTCTAAGCAGGCAGCAATTAAAATAACAGATAGTTCAGGGCAGTGTACAAACTTAAAAGCTACCCAGCTCCCACCACGTTTTCTTTTTATCATGAAAGAAAAAAGAATGCAAAAAATGGCATTAGCTTACCCTTCTTTCCATCCATAAAATATGAGATCTCATTTGAGATATGATATTAGATCCCCGTGGTGTTCCTGGTTCAACTAAGACCTGCACCGTATCAAATAGTTAAATTTGCATAACACTAAATATTGTAAAGTAACATGTATTTTTAACAGCGATAAAAGGATTATATATAGACTAAATATCATATACCAGAATATCTGCAGTAAGGCCCCAAAGCTGGCGGACAATGCTGATTCTGTCCTTCAAGGATGGTATTTCACCTAGCACATATGACTTCACCAGTGTAAAAAAATATTGAGATCAATTTCGACAAAGCAGGTCCACAGAAAATTGTAAAAATTACTACGTATTTAATTTTGCAACGAACTTGTGTCATCTAGAAACAGTCTCTCTGTGCTTTAGTACAGGGGTAAGACCACATACATCTGACCCCCCCCCTTACCCTACCGTAGGTGGGAGCCTTTGCGGCCCTGGGGTAATGATAATGACGATTTAATTTTGCAAAGAGAACACCCTCCTAGGATTCAGGATACTCCGTAAAACCAAAATAAGGCACTACAGGTTTTACTTACAGCGATTACAAGATCGTGTTGTCGATTAGACTTCTTAATATTCTGAGTTAATGCCTGAAGACTGCTGTAGCTTTGAATAAGTGGCAAATTTTTTAGACCTGCAGTATTTGTGATCATCAGTAAATTCAGTATGGACAGGTGACTAAGCTCAGATCCTTTATGAATAGGTTAAGCAAATATGTAGGCATGCAAGCACAATGCAAACATATTGTGTGTCTAAGTTAAGGAAAACAGCTCTTAAGTGTCATGTGCGTGAGACATTTCCCAAGCAACGGCAAAAGTTCTCTGTTCACATTTAGCAACTCTTTTACTAGTAAACAAATATACTTGTTTAGTTGATTTTCCACCCAATTGCTAGTTTATGACAAATATGTGTGTCCAAGCCTATACATTTAAAAAATGAATTCTATTATTCATACATAAAATAAACCCCTACTTTTAAAACTCCTAAAGAGACTCGAGAAAATCTAATATGAACTCTAATAAAAGGCCTGATTTCTGAAACTAACATTTTGCATGAGGACACTATAAATCTAACGATTAATAAGGCATTCTTTCAAGTGTCTGCCAAACAAATGAGGACCCAAAATCACCACATGCATGCATGCACTAGAGCTTTCTAACTTGAGCGGTTGTTGGGTAATAATAAAAAACACCACATACAAACCATCGTGGCATATATGATTACTATTTAGATCATGACGGATGATATAGTTTCCACACATGATACTCCGTAAGTCCGTAGTAAAAATCACTTCATTTCCAACCGGAAAACTAACATATGCATCTACTCAACACACTACTTGTGCTCAACTGCTTATATGAAGATATTTAAGGCCAAAAAAATAATCAACAAACATCTAAATTTCCAACCTAGTACCTCATTAAGTGTTATGCTTCCTGTGACTGCTAACATTGTTTTGAATTGACCCCAAAAGACCCGTTTAAATTTTAGGTCTCAGTCTACCGCTTGACTAGGTAGAGCCTATATGCAACTACAGGACTGCCAAACTGGTTCGCGATTGTACTGCATTTGTATAGCTTATTTTCATCAAAGGCATGATAGTACATTACTAATTCATTCTATTGTTGGAAGGGTGACAAGAGAATACACCAAATGAATCTGTGTGAGCTTTTAACTGAATTTGAGCATAACTATCACTATCGGTCCTAAGGTAAACTGTCTTATTTGGGGGGGGGGGGGGGGGTCATTGCACAGACATTACCTCTTGTAAGCCCTTGCCCTGCACGTTGCATAGACTGTGATGGCTCAACTAAATTTACCTTCTGCAACGACTTTGGCCACACCTCTCTTGTTGCCCTGCAATAGTAACCATTCAGTTCCCAAGCCAATTACTTCTAAAAATATAAATAATATCAACACTCAACACTTAAACAGTCAACTGTAAACACAATGCTAATTTTCTTCTCACCAGAAAGCAGAACCAGTCCCTGCACCAAAATCCAACACCTTAGCTGGAGAAAAATTAGGTACCCTTCTCCTGACCTGAAAACCCATGACAAATAAACAAAAACGCCTCCACGTTAGCCAGTTCCAGCTTGTATCTCTTATTCGCTCTCCTTATAAAAGCAATTATTTCATGAATATTCAATATATTTCTATGTCATGTTAGAGCTCATTTACCTCACTGAGAACTCTATACAGAGCAGAGTAAACAGCAGGCATCCTAGAAGCCACATAAGCTAAGGTCTCATCTTCTTGATACTTGAGGCCAATATCACCATACGCACTTTGGACTTTCCATCGCTTGGAGCATCCCATGGAATGGAGGGGATCTTGCATGATCTCTTTCGCAGTTGTAGTGGGGAGCAGCAGATTCGCCTCCTTTATGTGGCTGAACGACTCAGATAACCTCAACACCTTTCTCTTCATATGCGGGTCTTCTTGTTCTGCAACAACAAGATATTTCAACACAGATATAACGCGCAAAGAAATTTACCGAGAGATTGGTATTTACCTCGAATGTATTTTTTGATAGCTCGACGAAGCCCAAGGGGAACTATCCTGCAGGCTTCAGATTGCTTTGCTGCTGTGCGGAGGGCATCAGCGGTGAACTTGGGAACTGTTTCTGATACCATAGATGCCATTTCTGGATGAAAAGAACGCACTAGACTGTGGTATTCAACTAGATAGGGTTTTAAGGACTTGCTCGCGAGCTTCAGTTTTGTTTATTTTAAAAAACAAAAATTCTACATGTTACATTACTTGTCATTCTCACAGAATAACAATCTATCTAAAAGTTAACTACAAAATATAAGTCATATTGTACAAATTATGGCATTGCTAAGCTGCATACGTTTAGCAAGATCCTATCTTGGTCAATGGCGATGACACCCCCATTACGTAGTAAAACTTGAAACTTAGTACTTGAATTGATGAAGGAAAAGTGAGTCAAGCAAAAAGAATCTGCAGGAAAATTATTCACATAGTTAATACCAAAAAATACTTATGGGGAGAATATTCAAGGGCATTTGGAAAACTTTAGAAATACAAGCCTGAGATTAAAAAAAAAGATCCAAACTTTGAGAAAGAACAAATAGTTAAATGACAACAACAAAACCATCCAAGCCTTGTTCCCAAAAGATTTTGGGGTTGGCTAATATGAAACGATCCATGACATCAGATCCATTCATATTTCAATTCATAGAAATAGTTAAATGACAAAATTGAAAAAAGAGCAAGGATCCAAAAGGAACCCGAAGGAATGCAGTTGGTTCTACTTGCAGATACAATCATGGAAACAAAATAGACAAATTAAGATAGAAGATAATGAGCCAATAGCCCAATATGATAAAATTCCAATCATGCTTCAAAGTGAAGGATCAGCTACCCTTCAAAAGGCACACAATAGGCTCTAACTACCACTTTGCAGCCCCAAAACTCGATATAATTTGTGCAAGAATGAGCATGACATCAAAAGTAGCTCAAATAGTTAAATGCAGTTATGTAATATGAATAAGCTAAAATAGTATATGACCAACTCAATTCGGTTTTTTTACATTCTCAATTCAGTCTCAGTTTATGAAGTTTGGAGAAAAAGGAACTGCATGTGTTCCGGTTCAGACTTTGAAACTAAAATAAACCAAACAGGGGACATAGTAATTGAGAACACGAAAAAGAAATTTAAAAACATACAGAAGCTAACTTGCATTCAATGGAAAAGAAGGATATGTGCATACAGTCATTCACCATGAAATATGTAAATGTGTAATGATGCACCATGCATGCTAACCCTGATTCTAGAAGAGTGAAGGAGAAAACTAGTAGGGTTAATTGAGATTCTTTAGCTGATTAATTGATCTTTTCAGTCTGATTTAAATATCCTTTAGAGCAATTCATAGATTCTTTCAGTTTCGTTAGGACTGCAATTGTTACATCTTTTCTTTGAAAATAGTTAATATAATCGCCAAAAAAGAAATATGGAGCACAAGTCCATGAATGAACACAACCATGGTTCTACATCCTACGGCTCCAACCTTGACAGACTAACAATCATATAGATATTACAAAACTCAGCAAAGAAAATGTGTCTTGTTCATTGTATGACACACTCTACAGCCATGCTTCAATCGAGTTATCACTAAATCTATTCACATCGTTAGCAGATTTCCAGATCAATTAACAACTCAATTATTACCGAGTTAAATTAGATGCAATCAGAAAACAATCAGACTAATGATTTTTTTGAAATCTATTTCTCATAATTGCACTGAAGCTTAAGAAAAGTGGAAGCAAATTCAAAGAATCAGCTTGAAAATACATCTAAATGGAGTAAACATCAGAAACTGAATGCGACATATGTATCTAACAAATTATTAGATTATTAAAGTTTCAGCAAGCCAACCAGTCAAGGAGGCGAGGTCATGACGAATACGGGGTCAGCCATTGAAGGAGATGGTCGTCCCAAGAAGATGAGGGAAATACTAAAGTAGAGCGGTCCTGTCCAATTGAGGGCCTAGGGGAAACAATCTATTAAGGGTCTATTCTTTAATAGCTAAAAAATTCTCATTGTTGTCTTCGTGTAATTCTTCATTACTTCCTCAAAAAGCAATTGATTTTTTAGCAAGATTCTAAACTAAAGTAATTATTCTCTTAAGAACATTTTTCCAATGTTTCTTCTCTTTCACAAGTGTTTCTTGAATAGCAAAATCAATTGTTTTTTCCCTATGCTAATCTCATCTTCATATCAATCAATTTGGGAACATTAGCAAAATGTTGGACACTTTTTTCATGAGTCGAAAACTTTCATGATTCGAAAAATTATCTCTTTCTCCCATCCAGATTTAACCATTTTATTACACATTAAACTATATTATGTTTACAAATTTAATAAGATTTCTAAATTTTAATTAAACATTATTTTTTAACACTAGCAGACTCACTACAAAAAAACACTAGCAGTCTAGCACAAACTAATGTTTAATAACATAACAAGTATTGATACAAAGTAGTTAAAACCCATTCACAAATTATCCATTTCACACAACAATTTTTAAAATAAGCGTCACGCTTTCCTTTTTAGGTTGTATGACTTGTATCAAAATAAGTGTCACACTTCCATTTTCGGAAAGAAATTCACCCCAAAAAGCAGCTACAGTACATTTTAATAAAGTAAAAATCAAAGGCAAAAATAAATAATGTGGGGGGAAATTAATTAAATAATGTATTGCAAAAAAAACATGTAAATTGTAACAAAAAAATCAAAGGCCAAAAATAAATATTATAGGAACAAGAGTTCTCATTAAAGTCAAATACAAAAACACCACAATTTACAACTATTTTCTACGTGCTTTCTTCGTTTGATATCATTTGGATTATACCTTGAGATCGGTACTCTTAATCCAGGGTCAAATGAAAGTTGGGAAGAATCAAACTCTTCATCAGTGACTGATTGTCTATTATTTATGTTGTTTTGTTCGTCATTTGTTGTGGAATTTTCTTGAATTGTAGTTGAGGGCACTAATTCTGGATGAGCTATCTTCATTAGCTCCTACTTCGACAGGGTTATAGTATCTCTTCATTACCTTTATTGAAAATAAAGGTATTACCAGTTACTACACTAATACTAATTAACTTAATAATTAGATTAATAATAACAAATCAGAAGCAAATTCATACTATTATAAGTGATGATTACAACTTTACAAGTAACAATCAAATTCAAACTAAACAAGGCTGTAATTAGTCTTTTAACAATCAAATTCATACTAAACAAAGCTGTAATTTAGTTTTTAAAGTGAATTCTATACTGTAATTAGATAAATAATAACAACTCACAAGCAAATCCATACTGGTATAAATGATGATTACAACTTTACAAGTAACAATCAAATTCATACTAAACAACTAAACAAGGCTGTAATTAGTCTTTGTAAGTAATTTTAACAATAAAAGTCATACTTCGTACTAAACAAGGCTGTAATTTAGTTTTAAAATTGAATTAAAAACACAATAATACTAAACAAATATAACATACCTGTTAGGAGTTAGGACTTAGGCAGGTCCGCAAGGAAGAAACTAAACCGCCGTGCGCCGTGACCCGCCGTCCGACTGTCCTAGTGCTGAGCGCCGTCCGACGGTGCGATTGCTCACGATTGATGGAGACTCGATGGGTCGCTCCGTCGCTGCCGACGCTGCGTGCTACTGTTGTAAATCGCTGGTTTGGGATATGGAGGTTTGGCACTTTTGCCGATACAGTACAGAACCATGCGAAGTTGCGAACCATGGTCTGGGATTGAGGTTTTGGGATTTTCAGATTTTGGCCATGTTTTAATTTGAGAAAATGATCAAAATGGTACATACCTGTGTTTGACATTCAGCCGTTGGCGTATAGCGTGTTATGTTAGCGGGTTTTCAATAGTGGATTTAGTCAGAGTTTGATTGGCGGAATAAGTTGGCGGATTGTGAGAAGATGTTTCGTAATTTAGCTATTTGGCCATAAAATCAGTAGAAAACGTCATTTTTTCAAAACATCAACTCAAACTCTCCTATTAGCAGCATTTTCATTTCAGCGTTTCCGTCCAAAAACGCTAGTGTCGAAAGCTATTTACTAAGCAGCTTTTTCACTTTTTGAAAACGCTATAGTGGTCAAACCGCCATTTTCGGCTGAAACGCCATTTACCAAACACCCCCAAAGTAAGTAGTACTTCATTGCATTTGAAATTTTAAAGTACATGAACTTGTATTTTTATAGTCGATCAAGTACATCTACTGTCAGAACGTTAAAATAGTTGACCTGGCCAGATTATCCGTTTGTATTATACAGTTGCAGTCCAAGTCATTAAATAATTAATTTATAAACTCTATATTTCTCTCGTCCACTCATTTTCACCTTCGCTTATCATCTTATATTTTCCCCGTCTGCTCTCCCTTCTGTCCGCTCTACATCTTATATTTCTCTCGTCTGCTCTCTCCCCTATCCCGCCGACTTCCTTTGCTCTATTTTATTTTCTTCTTCTTCTATTGCTATAATAAAGATGGATCGACAGCAAATAAAAGAAGAAACTGGCAGGATAGCAAGGAGAGCAGTCCAGAGAGAAGGAGAGCAGCAGGGGCGGAGCTAGGTGTCCCTAGGTCCTGGTCCACCCAAAATTTTTAAAAAAAGCTTTAATTTTAAAGTAAAACTTATGTGTAAATTTTTTCCCAAAAACATTCTTTGTACTAGTCCAGTCCGGCCCAGTGCCCTGGCTCCGCCCTTGGAGAGAAGACGAGAGAATATAAGATGAAGAGCAGAGAGAATGGAGATCAAACATGAGAAATATAAGATGAAGAGCGAAGGTGGAAACAAGTGGCCTGGAAGAAATTAGGGTTTATAGATTAATTATTTGATGACTTGGACTGCAACGGTATATTACAAACTGATAGTTTGGCCAGGTCAGCTATTTTAACGTTCTAACAGAGCAAATGTACTTAATCGACTTTAAAAATGCAAGTTCATGTACTTTGTTGTTCCAAGTGTAAGATGGAGGATAGACAAGGTAGAAATATCACCGGGCGCGACGGGTCGATGAAGCGCAGGGCTTGGGACCTCTGGCAGCCGTCGCTTCGGCATTGGAGGGAACCGCCGACGTTCGTCTGGGAACAGCCTAATCGACGCAGGGATAGACGATTCGCTAGGCGTTTTGGATGTTATGGCTATTGCGATCGTAGAAGAGATAGAAGCTATGGCTTGGAGGCAGATTCAGAATCATCGTTTCACCCAATCCAGCATCATCAGGGAGACACGCCTTCAAACGTCCGACAGTTTCAAGGCTGGGAATCCCGTTTCAGAGAAGAGGGCAGAGAACAGGGTCGACGTTTTCGGATGAAAAGCAGAGAACAAAGGGGTCGCAGATTGGGATTTGGTGGAGTCAATTGCGCAGGACGATGGCAACAAGGGAATTTCTGGTCTGTGAAAGGGAGAACAGAGAGAACCTACGAACAAGTATCTCGGCAAACTAATTCAACAGAGGGAAATGGTACTATAAGAATTGAAAGCAAAACTTTTGAATTTCGGGTGGTGTCCTCTCTTCTACGTATTAGTCAGTACAAGGAGAAACAAAATTTCTCTATTTCATTGGACATGGATGAGATTCATTGGTGTTGTTATGCCTTGTGTCAATTTCAATATAAAACCTCCTGGACTTTCACTAGGTACGGAAAAAACTGTAAGCTTCTCTTATCTTTTGAAGAAAATAGCTTTGACAGATTCACTCGACTTCAAGCTATTGGCACACGAGGCAGAACTACTCTCATTATCCCTGATGGTTAGAGGGGTGAAGGAACTTAACATTTCCATTCTACTTTATTTAGTCATTTGTACATTTTGGAAAATGCTAATAAGGGGTTAGCGAAGAGTATGGTGGAATGTGTCGATTTATGTTCTGTTGTTCCCGTGAATTCTGTTTCGGGCAGTTTCGAGCTTTACTTTTCCAGGCAGATTTGCTTAATATTGGTTGTTTCTCTCCTCCTGTCACTGAGAACAATAAAAAGGATATTGTCATTTATCAGGCGGGTAAGATTAGGGCAGATCATCAGCAGATGGGGAGGACGAGAGTTATGGTGGAGAGGTCATGGAAGTTTCACCCATTCAGGCCTCATTCCCTGCGCAAAGCCAACATAAGTTAATCAGGGGTGATCCTCAGTCTTCGGGAGAGGATTGTATTACGCCAATAAGAAGGCCCCTACCAGATCCAAAGTTGCTAGATCGTTTAAGTGATCCTAACTACAAGATAGCATCTCAAACTGTGCCTAGATGAAGCGCTCGACTCCAAGCTAAAAATGAGGTCGGCGGGTAGTTATGTTTTGTCATTGCGGTCTACAAAGGGTTTTCATGACTAGGCTCTTTGGTTTCTTGCTGGTTGTTTCTATCCTCGGCCGGCAAAGGGCTTCTTTTTTGGTTAATTTGGTTTCTCAATAATTTTCTATTTTCATTAACGGATTCTTTCATTAACTTTTTGTTACTGAGTATTTCTTCAGATTTCTACCTTCATTAGCGGATGTGCTTTTTTTACTATGCTCTTTAATAAAACTTTACTTTATACTAAAAAAGAGTGTAAGATGGAGTGCTATTTACTCCACCTGAAACAAGTTCATGTACCATTTTAACCATTTTCTCGTTTTAATTTGGGCTCCGCTGGAACGAAGGCTGGAAGAGGGACTGGATTTGTGCGGACGAACAAACTACGGGCTAGGGGTGTGCATATCAGTTTGTTTTAATCGAAGCGTACAAAACTGAACTAAATCGAATTGAAACCGGGTTGTATGCAATTTGGTTTGAGTTTGATACTATTTCTTCTAAACTGTATTAAACTGAACCGAACAGAAATTGATGAAAACCGAGCAAAATTGAATCAAACTTAAGAAATTAAAAAAAACGATCATATACTCCCTCCATTTCGATTTGTTTGACACAGTTTGACTTGTAAAGAATTAAGGAAAAAAATTTACTGAGTGGTAAATTTTACTATTTTGACACTGTTTGAACACTGTCTAACACTGTCTGACACTATTTGAACACTGTTTGGCACTGTTTTGATAAAGATTTGTTTACCAAATAAGGAGGGAAGTGGGGCATTCATTTCGAAACATCCAAAAAAGGAAAGTGTGTCAAACAAATTGAAACGGGGGAAGTATTATTAAAAAACAACAAAAATCAAACTGAACCAAATCGAACTAAACCAAACCGAAAAATAATATGGTTTTTGTTTGGTAATAATTCTTCCAACCCGTTCGAAACCAAACTGAACCGAAACAAATAAAAATCAAACCGAAAACATATATGCCCACTACTACTACGGACTGATGTATATTAATTTAAAAAAATGAGGATGGGCCTAATTTTTATACATATACTAGTTAAAAATAAATATTATGTTATTGTTATCTTATATTTATTTATCTTTATCATATTTGTTTCTTTTTTAATTTCTTCTCTGTCTTCTCTTTTTGGCATCGATGTCATGGATCGATTCACGTTAGCTCACCCCAAAACCATTTGAAGTCATAATCGTAACAAAGGTATGCTACTGTATTACAGATGCATCATTGATGTTGTATGTATGTGTATAGTCTGTATTATCTACAAGTTATTAGCAATTCATAGGTGGAAGATTATTAGTATATGACTTGAATGCACATTGTCTTTTTCAAAATTGGTGGTTGCATGAGTAGGTGTTCTGAAAAATTGTCAAAAGTACATGTATATGTTTGGTAAAAGCATTTACTTTAACATATTGGTTATCTCCTGATATATTTGTCATACTTGTCCTTTTACTGTTGTTGTTAATGTGATATACATTTATTTTGGAATATAACACCAATAGATAGTTATGATCAAAGGGGGAGTCCAAATGCTGAGTCGGAAGGTGAGAGTGTTATGCATGTGCCTTTTATTGTTGATTTGGGATTTCAAAATCCCCTTCTTGAGGCAAAAGTTGGACTTTTATTTGAAGATGAAGTGAACTCAGAAAATGAATACGATGAAGAGTTACAACCTGCATCCTCACTATGTTGCAGCCTAGCCCAGTTTTGACAGGTTTTATGTGTGTTTCCATGCCTGCAAGAAGGGGTTCCTGTAGGGGTGTAGGAGACTCATTGGAGTAGATGGGGCATTTCTGAAGTTTGAGGTGAAGGGTGAAATTCTCACCGTAGTTGCAAGGGATGCAAACAATCAAATATTCCCAATTGCATGGGCAGTTGTTGCTTCGGAGACCAAAGCCACTTGGAAGTGGTTTCTGAAGAACTTGAGAGATGATTTAAACATTGGAAGAGGCAATGGATGTGCATTTGTTTCAGATCAACAAAAGGTGTTAGTCACTTTAACTTTTTGTAATTTGTCTTTCATATAACAAATATCCCCGATATCTAACATATTTCATAATTTGCATTTGATTTCAGGAATAATGCCTACATTTTATGAGACTTTACATGAGGTTGAACATAGAAGATGTGTTAGGCACATATATGCCATTTAGAGAAGAAATCATCCTGGTCTGGAGTTACAAAGGCAGGTTTGAAAGTGCTGCAAATCTGCCTCCTAAAGAGAATTTGAGCAGAAGCTAGAGGTAATGAACGTTATTTCTCCAATTGCTCATGGAGATATTCTCAAGGTAGATCCTATTTTTGGTGGAAAGCTTTTTTTAATAGGAGTATCAAATGTGAAACTGTTGATAATAATTTATGTGACGCTTTTAATGGGGTAATAGTTCATGCTAGATCTTTGTTTGGGTATACTCAATTGGAATACATAAGGAAGTCGGTGATGCATAGGCTTAAAAAGAATAAGAATTTAGGTGACCAATGGGTTGGAGAGTTAGGTCCTAG